TTATCTTTTATAATCATCATTCATTTCTTCTTTTTGTCAATTCCTCTTTGATTAACATCAACAAATTTCTTTCTATTTCATTCTGTTTTATTCTATTTTCTTTATTCTTGTTGTTATTTTATTTATTTCATTTTTTATCATTTATCATTTCTTGTTTACTCATGTTTGTTGTATATTTTATTATTATTTATTTTATGTTGTGTTATTCTTATTTATCTTTCTTATTATGTTTTGTTTATTATTGTTTAAATAGAAAATAAAAATAAGAATGAATAAAGAATAAGAAATAATAACATAAATATGTTGATATATTTTATCATTTCTTTATTTGTTTATTATTCTTATTTCTATTATCTTATTCATTTGATTCATAATGAATTAATTCAATGAAATAATACAAATAAATTGTTTATTCATTTCATCTTATTTCTCTTTATTTCTTTTCTTATTTATTAAAAACACCATCATTGGGTGTGAATATTTCAAATGAAATAAAATAAATCATCATTGAATTATTTAAATTTTTATTTCACCATTTCATTCATTGGCAGATGAATGATATGTTCATATTCTTCATTGATTTGTTTTTATTCTTTTTATTTCATTTTCAATTAATCAAGATTGAATCATTTCAATTACGATGATTCGTTTTGGTGTGAAACGTTCTGGAAACTGTTTTCCACAAAGTGCTTTTGATATTCCTTTATATTCAAATGAATGTTGTTTACAAAGTGATTTTGTTTTATCATTTTCTTTATAAATAGCAATATCATCTATTCCAATTTCAAATAAACAATCAAGTGTTTGGTTAAATAAAATAAATGCATGTTTTGTATCTTTAATATCAAATTTCTTCATTCTTTCAATTCTTCCTTTTGATTCTAATGAAAATACAAATGATTTTGAATCTTTTATAAAACCATTATCTACTTTATCAATTTTAGAATTAACATATCCTCCAAATTTATTTCCATCTTCGTCTTCAATAATAATTATTATATGTTCTTTATTTATTATTCTTTGATCAAACACTGATGTATTTTTATTCCAATCATCAATATCTGAATCAAATAATATATTATTTATTCTTTTTTCTGTCCATTCTTCTATTTGTTTAATAAACACCTTATACATTTTAAATTTAATTTGACATTTATAAGTTCAAAATATTAATGTTTAAATAGTTAATACACGTTATTAACATCATGTCAATTCTTATTTTTACCATTTTATTTTAACAAACACTATTTTTATCATTTTTACAATAACAATAAATATATAATAATATTAATAATATAATAATAATAAAATTATAATATTGATATTTTCTATAATTAGTTTATTTTATTTTTAGTATTTTTTCATTTGTTTTAAAATAACAAAAAAAGTGAATCTTCTCTTCAATTTTGTTTTATTTTTATTATTTCATCTTTTGAGATTTGAATTTTCATGTTTTACCAACAATTAATTCTAACAATTAAATTAATAAAGATAATAAATGATAAACAAAAATGTGATAATAAAATAAGAATAAGAAATAAAAGAGAATAGAGATATTATAATTATGATGAATTAATTTAATAAGAAATATAATAAATAATAATAGAAAGAATGAAATAAAATAATATGAAAGAATAATAAGAAAATAAAATGATATAAATGATGATATTAATAATAAATGAAATTATAAATAATAATATAATAATAATGAAATATTCATTCAATATAAAATAAGAAATAAAGAAATGATAATTGAATGAGAATAATTAAAATGATGAAAAATGAAAAAGAAGATAAAAAGAAGAATGAAACAAAAATAAGAATGAAAAGACAATAAAACAAATAAAA